AAACATACACACAGTGAAGTAGAAAACCTGAACAGACCCATAACAAAACACGAAATTGATGAGGTCATCAAAATAATCCCAAGTAAAAAAAGTCCAGGTCCAGATGGCTTCACTGGTGATTTCTACCAAACATTCAGGGAAGAGCTGTCACCAATTCTACTCAAATTATTCCAGAAGATAGAGGAGGATGGAAAATTTCCTAATACAGTTTATCAAGCAAGAATAACCCTTACACCCAAACCAGAGAAGGATGTCACTAAGAAAGAAAATTACAGACCAATAACCCTCATGAACATAGATGCAAAAATTCTGAACAAAGTCCTAGCCAACAGAATCCAGCAACACATCAAAAAGATAATACATCATGATCAAGTCAGATGCATACCAGGGATGTAAGGATGGTTCAATTTTTAGAAACGATCAAAGTTATGCACCATCTAAATAAGAAAAAGGAAAAGAACCACATGATCATATTGATTGATATAGAAAAGGCATTTGACAAAATCCAACATCCATTCCTGATAAAAGCACTGAAAAAAAAAAAAAAAAAGGAATTGAAGGGAAATTCCTCAACACAATTAAACCAACAGCCTACATTACACTCAATGGAGAGAAACTGAAAGCCTTACTTTGCAAACGGGAACCAGACATGGTTGCCCTTTGTCACCACTCCTATTCAATATTGTGCTGGAAGTCTTACAAGAGCTATATGGCAAGACAGGGAAATTAAAGGCATCCAAATTGGCAAAGAGGAAGTAAAAATCTCTCTATTTGCAGATGATATTATCATATATGTATAAAACCCCAAAGATTCAGTAAAACGCTACTAGACCTCATTGGAAGATTCATCAAAGTGGCAAGATATAAGATAAACATACAAAAATCGGTTGGATTCTTCTATAACCAAGTGACAGCATTGAAAAGGACATTAGGAAAGCAATACCTTTACAATAGCCACCCAAAGGATGAACTATCTACAAATAAATGCATCCAAAGAAACAAAGGATTTATACAAAGAAAACTACAAAACACTACTACAGAAAGTCAAAAGAGACCTATATAAATGGAAGAATGTACCATGCTCCTGGATAGGAAGACTTAACATTGTGAAAATTCAATACTGCCCAAAGCAATTTACACATATAATGCAATCCCAATCCAGATTCCAGCAACATTCTTCAAAAAGATGGAAAAAACAATTACAAACTTTATATGGAAAGGAAAGAGATCCAGGATAAGCAAAGCACTACTTAAGAAGAAGAATAAGGTTGGAGGCCTCTCACTCCCCGACTTCAAAATTTACTACATGGCTACAGTGTTCAAAACAACTTGATATTGGTACAACGAAAGATACATAGATCAACTGAACAGAATCGAGAATCCAGAAATTAACCTATCTACATACAGCCAATTGATTTTTGACCAAACACCTAAATATATCGCATGGGGAGGTGATAGTCTTTTCAACAGATGGTGCTGGCAGAACTGGAAAGTGATATGCAAAAGATTGAAACAAGACCTTCATCATACACCTTATACAAAAACCAACTCAACATGGATTAAAGACCTGAATGTAAATCCCAGAATTATGAAGGCCATCAATGAAATAATAGGGACAAAAGTGATGGCATTTAGTCAGGGAATACACAGACTGCCAAACATTTAAAAAACTACACAAAGTATACAAAATAGATGAGTGGTACATACTAAAATTTAAAAACTTATGTGCATAAAAAGACTTCACCACAATAGTAAAATGGGAACCCACAGAATGGGAAAAAATCTTTTGCAAGGACACACCAGACAAGGGACTTATTTCTAAAATATATGAAGCTACAGAAACCTCTACAAGAAACAGACAAATAACCCAATTAAAAAATGGGCACAGGACATGAACAGACACTTCACCAAGGAGGAAATCCAGGCAGCCAGCAAACATATGAAGAAATGTTCACAATCACTTGCCATTAGAGAGATGCAAATCAAAACAACAATGAGATATCATCTCACTCCAGCAATAACAGTAAAGATTTAAAAAAGCAGAGGACAATAAATGTGGGCAGGGATCTGGGGAGACTTGGACACTCCTGTATTTCTGATGGTACTGCAAAATGGTCCAACCTCTCGTGGAAAGCAATATGGTGCTTTCTCAGAATGTTGGAAATAGAAATACCTTATGATCCAGCAATTCCTCTACTTGGTATTTACCCACAAGAAATATGAGCCATAATACGAGTAGATATATGCACATATATGTTCATCCAGCACTATTTACAATAGCAAAAAGATGGAGACAGCCAAAGTTCCCATCAACTGAAGAATGGATAAAAATGCTGTGGTACATACACAAAATGGAATACTTCACTGCCTTCAAGAATAACCATGAAGCTGCAAGCCACCGCACAGCATGGATGAACCTTAAGAACATTATGTAGAGTGAAATTCGTCAGTCACAAAAGTAGAGATACTGCATAGGAACACTACTGTAAAAGACTAAGAAAAAGAACACATACTAAAGGGGGGAGGATTTTTTACTGGTTGCTGGGATATGGGGTGTGTGGAAAGGAGAAAGACAGGAAGGTGGAACACAGGGCAGGGAATAGATACAGGATAGTTTGGGTGCTGGGGAGCGGGCAATATACAAGCAGGGGAAGGGAATGGAAGAACAAAGAGGATGGGAGAACAATTAGGCAGGCTTGCATGGGCTAAGTGGAACAGAGGTAAAGAATGATGTATGCACAACCTTGGAACAACAGGGCACTGTGGTACAGGAATGGAGACATTATTGGAATGTGCAAAAGAGGAGAAATAATATTAAGATGCTTGACTGTCATTTGGACCTTGGTTTCCCTTGCACACCATTATGAAACAGATAATGGAGGGGAAGAGAAATAAATAGTCAGACATACTACCATAGAAAGCTTGTAAGTCAGTATTCTGGCTATAACTGATTGGGATACCTAAAATGGGGCTACAACGTGCCCAGGGAAGGAGGCTTCCTGTAGAGCCTCTGCATTTCATAAGACTATAGGTGGAATCCTGAACAGCATCTAAAT